TGATGTTTTTATCAGCTGTTTGGACTCTCATTCTGACGGCACCCATTCACTGCAGAGCATCCATTGATACAATGACACATTTCTCCACATGTGTTCCAATGAAGAAACTCACTTTTCATTTTTGGGTGAGCTACTCCTCTAACTATGTGACTAATTCCTCTAGCAGACCGGCATTCACTCCCTGGTGCCCTCGGTTGGCATCTGTAATTCCGCTGACGTTGTTTTCCTCTCTTAAGAGCCGCCACACCAGATTCCACAGAGACATAGCTTCTGTTGGCAGCGGCGTCTTTCCTCTGGCAGAGTGGAGTCTACACACCTGGTGGCGTACAGTGTGTGTGTGTGTGTGTGTGTGTGTGTGTGTGTGTCTTGATGGGCAGCAGAAGCCCACAGACACCCACTGAGAGCTCTGAACCGCCGCCAAACACAAACACAAAGAAATGAAACAACCAAAGCATCATTTCCTCTCTGCTGCTGCTGCTGCACAGTTTCTCACAGCCTCCTCTGCCTAACACTGATTTATTTTTTATATTTACTGAGCAAAGCTCATACAAAAATGAGAATCTCTCATCATTTTGTTTAAAACTTGTATGACTTCCGTTCCTCTGTGAAACACAAAAGAAGAAGTTATGCCGAATGTTCATGCTGCTATCTTCTAAACAGTAAAAGTGTTGACAGGGATTTTTACTGCATCAAAAAGGGAAACAAGCATCATAAAATAGTCCATGCTACTTATGCATTATATTCTAAGTGAAGTCATATGATGCTCACGAAGAAGAAATGGACTGAAATTTAAGTCATTGTTCACTAATAACCTTCTTTGCAATAGCTGATAAATGCTGTGTTCAAGATACAACCCAGGTAACAAATTTAGGTTATAAAAACATTGTGGGAACTTGGCAGATGCTTTAAGCAACTTACATTTCATTCAGGTATGCATTTGATCAGTTCATGCATTCCCTGGGAAATGAATGGTCTCATTGGAAATACATGCAACCTATATTTTTGCAAAAAATATACCTATGCATTCAGTTCACTGCAGTTTCACACTAGTGGCTGTAAAACTTTAACATCTTTTATTCCTTTTCACACAAATTATGGTAACAGGTGCAGATTGTCGATTAAGACTTATTTTCACACAGTTCCTTGCTCAATACTATGAGCTCAAAACACTTTTACCAAATGCATGATTTGTAAATGAATACATTTTAATGTTTGCATCACATAACCAGCTCCATGTGTACAGCTTTTCTGGTGTAAGCTTGCTCGGTAGCGCACCCGGCAATATTGGTGCCTGTTGCAATGATTGATAAATTGTATGATTATGGTTATTTGAGATAATCGCAATTATTTAAGATAGCCACAATAATTGTGCAGTATAGTTAACTGAAACTATAAAACCATAAAAATGTAATTACTTGAAATCAAATAAATGTTAACTGAAATAAAATTAAATATAAAAACAAACTTATTTTATTTTAGGTACTTAACACAGCAACATTTCTAATTTTGTATAACTTAAAACTGAAATTGAAATAATTCATATAATTAATAAAACTATATAGACATATTTAAAAACAACAAATGCTAATATAAATGGCAAAAACACGACAAAGTTATTAAAACTTCAACTAAAATTAACATGAAAGCTTTTAATAACATTATTAATATTTTTATTAGTTTAATTGATTTGCACTAAAATTACATTTTAAATGTCTGTATAATTTTAAATATGTCTAAAGCTGAAAAAATTAATAAACTGAATATAAAGCTAAGTAATAATTATATAAAATATTATAAAAGTAATATTTCTAAAAATAAATAAATAAATGGCAAAAGTGCATAACAAATTTTTTAAATATAAAAATAAAATTCAAACTATTATAAAAAACTGTAAATAACACTAATTTTCAATGACATTTTGCCATCCAAATAAGGGAATTTTAAGAGCTTAAATGTCAAAAATTATATTATATTATATTCATAAATAATGAATTATGCAAATATTATTAATTTTCACAGCATTCAAGTAAATTGTATGCACCTTTTTTATTAAATGATTCCAGGTAAAATAGTGTATTAGGTTTACACTGTAAGTGACATGAACAAAACAGAATGAAATCGTTAATCACAATTGTTTGTATGACAAAATTCATGATCATGCATCATGTGTGCAACCTCAGTTCAGTTCACTTCATCTTTATTTGTTTCGCGAAGGCAATTTGCTTGCAGCATACAAGCATATCACATAAGACAACACGACAAATCTTTATAAGGTCTGAGAAATGAAGGTTTCTAAACTTGATCTCACTGCAGAAGAGCGTAGGTCTTTCATGTGTGTGGATGCAAAACACAGAACAAGAGGCACATTGAGCTCATGCTTCGGGTAAATGTGTGATAATGACTTCGCTGATGCTGCGGGACAGATGAAGACAAGATGGCATGCGTGTGTTTTTACTGCATGTGATTTTCACATCAGAGCAGGTGCAGATATGATGCAATAACACACACTTTACTTAGTTTACTTAGTTTCTCATGTACTGTGTGTTCAAAAAGGTTTGGGGTCCGTAAAAGTCTCTTCTGCTCACCAGTAAAATACAGTAAAAATTGTCAATTATAATTTCAATTTATGTGAATATATCTGTTAAACTGTATTTAAGGGTGGAGAAGTCGTGGGGAAGTCGTGGCCTAATGGTTAGAGAGTCGGTCTTGTAACCCAAAACTTGCAGGTTTGAGTCTCGTACTGGCAGGGATTGTGGGTGGGGGGAGTGAATGTCATGTCATGACACTTTCACTTTCTTTCTTTTTTTATTTCTGTGATCAAAGCTGTATTTTCAGCATCTCTCTGAAGTAATGAATTTAGGTAAAGGGGTGCAGAGCCAGTGAAGATACCTTGAAGGACCTATCTGAGAAGTAAGACTCAAACCACTGGCGTGTGGTTCCTGAGATGCAATTTTCTAATAGGAAAGTGTACACACACACACACACACACACACTATGTACTGAACACACAGGGTGTATGAATGCGTACAGACAGAGCAAATACTGTAGTGTTTGTTCAGGAGTATGAGAGAGTTCGTGCATGTTGTTGGTGATCATGCGTGTGTCTCTAATATCTCCTGCCGTGATTTCTTATGTATGTGGCAGTGTGTTTTGTAGCGTCTGTCTGTCTGGGGCATTTCACACGTCTTCAGCCGCTATACGTTTACAGTTCACTGAAAACCTCGGAAAGATTCTGGACGCTCTGAATCCATCCGTCTGCGTCCCGCTGTCCCAAATCCTTACGGTCCGTGCCAGCGTTGAGTAGCAACAGCCTGCGATCGGATCCAGCCTCTGCCGAGAAACTCAGTAGGATGAAGAATTTGTTTTGGACACAAGAGGAGCTGATATGGCTGATAATATTGTTTTGTTCAAGCAAACTGTTGATTTCAGAGGTTTTCAGGAGCTTTTTTTTATGTTAGAGGAATGATGTTGTTTGATCCCTTACAGCAAAAGATATATATCAAAATATATTTTCTGGCGATATATTTTTAGTATATTTTTGAAAATATTTTAAGAATATAAATATATTTTTATAAGCATTTAAAAATATATTTTGCCCTCCATATATTTCAGTCCAAGAAAATACATTCACTTCAGGGTTTAGTTAACTATAACTAAAACTAAAACCATAAAAGAAAAAAAAACCTTGAAATAAAATAAATGTTAACTGAAATAAAATAAAATATAAAACACAATTATTTTATTTTACCTAGTTGACAAGACCAGATTTCACATTTTTATTTACTTTAACTTGACAAAAATAATTAAAATTAAAACTGAAATAAAAATTAATAAAGACATAAAAACTAATAAAAATGACAAAAACACACAAAAAAATACTAAAACTTTAAAATTAAAATCTAGTTCAAAATATTAACAAAAACTATAATATTATCTCAATCATGCTAAAATAACACTGAATATGTCACATTTGAAGAAAAACTTGTCTATAGGTGAACATAACATAAATGTTTTGAAAATCTATTTTAAAATTGGAAATGTATTTTCTTGCCACTGAAATACGTTTTAAAATATATTATGAAGGTTGAAACTAAATATTTTTTACATTGAGAATATATATTTCAGTGAGCTTCACTGTTTACAACATATATTTAGCATATATTTAAAATATATTTTGGCTGTTATCTGTTTTTGCAAATGAACTCTTCATTTTTTGCTATATGGGATCCTCCTCAGTTTGTAGATCCAAACAGGCCAGACAAGCGATTGAAGCTCTTGTCTCAGATCAGCACTGATGTTCGTCTCGTCACTGATGGACGTGTGAGAGCAGACCTCAGATCAGCGGGTCCAGGCCGAACGTCTGGCCCTGAAACGCCCTGTAAATCAGAAGCAGGTGACAGAAACTCGCGGCGCTGGAGAATCAAATTTCAGAGCGCTCGTCTTCCTCTGTCTCCGTCCACATGTTTGCTCAGAGCACTTGCCAAAAGCTTGCGAGAGGCGTTCCTGTGTGTTTGTGGTCAAACACAAGGTCAAAACATTGTTTAAAAAAGAATCGTGCATAAATAAATTGTTCACAGTAAGATCTATAGCATGCATTTAGAAAAACAGATGAATTTTCATTTCATGCTGACTTTAATCAGAAATCCAACAAAATAGTATTTTATGTTTAAAATATGAAAAAACATTTTTTTTTTTTTTTTTTTAAAGTAGTTGAATTACAGGCAAGCTACTCATTGAAAGAGTTTTCAGACAGATTTAGTCTGACTCAAGTGTTTTAGTTATTTATTGGAACTATTAACATTCATTTTTCGCTATTTGAAATAAGGCTAAAAGGGAACAGAAATATTAGATGAAAAACACAAAAATAAGAAATAAAATAAATAAGCTTAGGTTGAACTACTAAAATGACAACTACTACTGAAATAAAAGTTAATTTAATAAAAGATCACTCTCACACACACACACACACACACACACACACACACGTGCGCTCTCACACATGGTAATGACATCACTTCCTGTGTGTGTGTGTGTGTGTGTGTGTCTCAGGGCACCTGCTGGGTCTGTCCCATGACGACTCTAAATTCTGTGAGGAGCGATTTGGCTCCAGTGAAGACAAGCGGCTGATGTCGTCCATCCTGACCTCCATCGACGCGTCCAAACCCTGGAGCCGCTGCACCTCTGCCACCATCACTGACTTCTTCGACGACGGAAACGGTGAGAAACATTCATGCTTACACATGAACTCAAGCAGGTTTTTGATTCAGATCATTGCAGCTCAAAGTGACTGATTTGGATGTTGCATCCTCAAAAACTGAGACACATTTTGTATGGTTAGAATCAGAATCAGAAGGATAGAAGGCTATTATTATTAATCTGATCAGATCTGAGATTTCATGGATCTGTTTTATGATACTGCTTGTTTATGTGGAAATCATGGCACATTAAATTTGTCAAATGAGTTGCAATTTACATACTATTAGAGTTTGTATTAATATTTTAAATTTATTTCAGTTTTTTGTAATATTTTCAAATTTATTAAAAATCTTTGTTTTTCATTTTAATTTTAGTTTTATTTCAGTTTCAGTTATACTATAGTTTTTATTAATATTTTATTACATTTTATTTTATATTTTATTGTATTACTCATTTTTGGAATCTTTAATATTTTATTTGTATTTTATTTTAATAGCATTTTATTGCATTATATTACATTACATTTATTTTTAATTGTTAGTCATTTTGTTATGTGCTTTGGTCATTTTTATTCTTGTATACAATTTTTTTTTTATTAATTTTATTTTCATTTTTTAAATACATTTGTGATCTTGGACCACAAAACCAGTCACAAGGGTAAATTTTTTAAAATTGAGATTTATGCATCATCTGAAAGCTGAATAAAAATTTACGCTCAACTATTTTGTAACCAGCACAGAAAAAACTGTTATTCACTGTGTGGGGAAAAAATCAATCAATCAATCAATAAAATTTAAAAAACAGTCATCTGCACTCTATTAATGCTGATTGATTGCTGAAGGTTTTTTGAAGGAAATTAATGCTTTTATTCACCAAGGATGCATTAAATTAATCAAAAGTGCCAGTAAAGACATTTATAATGTCACAAAATATTTCTATTTCAAATAAACGCTGTTCTTTTGAGCTTTTCTATTCATCTGTGAATCCTGAAAAATAAAATGCATCAGTTTCCACACACATATTGAGCAGCACAACTGTTTTCAACATTGATAATAATCAGAAATGTTTCTCAGTAATGATGCTGAAAATACACAGAAATAAATACAGTTTAACAGATATTCACATAGAAAACAGTTATTTTATTTTACAGTTTTTACTGTATTTTTTATCAAATAAATGCAGTCTTGGTGAGCAGAAGACACTGTTTTACTGGTGAGCAGTGCTGTAGCTCTATAATGTTGCTGTGTGTGCAGCGGAGTGTCTGCTGGACGCTCCTCGTCTGCCTCTCTTGGGTCCGGAGGAGCTGCCGGGTCAGAGATACGATGCGGTCCAGCAGTGCCGCCTGGCCTTCGGGCCGGAGTACACCGTGTGTCCCGGGATGGACGTGTGCGCGCGTCTGTGGTGCGCCGTGATCAGGAAGGGACAGATGGTGTGTCTGACCAAGAAGCTTCCGGCCGTGGAGGGAACGCCGTGTGGGAAGGGCCGGATCTGTCTGCAGGGGAAATGTGTGGACAAAACCCGAAAGAGACACTACTCGGTAAGAGCAGAGATTCCTGTTTGTCTTCATAATCTTTCATTGAAATGCCTCTGAAACGACTTGCTTTTTGGGTGACGTCTCAGTTCCACACTACAGATTCACTCTGAATCAAGCACATCATGTTACTAAAACAGACTGCAAATTGCATTTCGTGTTGACTAGTTTATTTTCCATGCTGGTTTATGTTGATCAGTCGGGGTGTAACGGTACACGTATCCATACTGAAATTTTCAGTACGGGTCTTTCGGTTCGGTACGTAAATGTGACCCTGTCTGTGAAGTCCAGGCTAAAGTCTCAAAATCGAATTGTGACCCTGGAGCACAAAACCAGTCATAAGGATCAATTTTTTTAAATTGAGATTTATGCATCATCTGAAAGCTGATATGTAGAAAACAGTAAATCACAAAAAAATGACTTTAGCTGGGTTTTCACAGACGGGGTCACAAATCATTAATTTTTTCAGGAAAATCAGACAATAAATGGGGTTTTGGCGCTCTTTGATGAGGCGCGACAGATCGCTGTGTAAACGCTTCAGTTCTGACAGCAGTGCGGAGCGCCATCATCCCTTCATCTTCTAGTTTTAACGAGAAATAAACATGAATGAACATCTCATGCCTCATGTAATCGCACATGTAATCAGTGTTTCACAAGAGCTGGCCAGAATTCCTCCAGAATGATGTGAGAGACTGATAAAGTCATACAGAAAATTATCAATTCAAGTTATTGCTGCTAAAAGTGGATCTACAGGCGATTGAATCATAGGGTGTCCTAACTTTGTGACACATGGCTTTTCCATCTTAGCTTTATTTTTGTTAAATAAATAATGACACGGCGTGATATGTCATGTGTTGTTATTCATCTGAGGTTTTATTTTCCCAATTTTAAGACCTGACAAGGACCAGATATTTTTTTATTATGTCCTGATACAGAAAACCATGGAATTCAATAGGGTGTCCTAATTTTTTCACATGACTGTATATATATGTGTGTGTGTGTGTGTGTGTATTTATTTTAAGTTTTCGGTACTTGTCTTTCGGGAACAAATCATTCAATATATATATATAGCTAAAATATTATTAATTTTGTATAAAACTTTATTATTATGTATGTCATATTTTGAATTCATTTGAATTCATTTATTGAATAATTTTTATTCATATTTTGAATTTATTTATGTTTTATCAATATTTTATATTCATTTTTATTTTAAGCCATGTATTTCTTTGTCAGTTTACTAGTTCTTGTTGTTTTAAAATATATATGTTTCTTTTTTTATTTAAATGTATTTCAGTTAGTTGCTTAGAAAACATTTTAAATTTCAATATTTTATTTCAGCTTTATTTCAATGTTTTTAATTGTTTAGTTTTAGTTAACAGTCCTGTGCTGGTCATAGTCCTCCTGCTCAACAGCTAAACTTGATTGCATGAGACTAGTCATCCAGCCTGCTCTTTCTGAGGAAACTGGTTAACTGAGGACATTAGAGACCTTAGTTTGTCCTGTCGTGTATTTAAATAACTTGCTCTGGTTTGTTTGTCCGTCTGAACCGCACCCATGTTCATCTGGTTTGCAGTGTTTCTCCGGGCTTCACGTGATCCATCTCTCTCACCGCTGTCTCCTTCACATAATAAACATCAGATCTCCTCTTTCAGACCAGTTTCTCCGGCTCTGAGGAGTGTGTCAGCGGCTCTTTAACATCTCTCATCATCTTCCCTTCCATCAATCTCTCTCTCTGCTGCTTTCTCTTTCACTTCATCATATTCATTCCTCTTCAACATTTCAGCTCAACCATCTTCACAATAACATCTGCATAGTGCTCACTAGTGCTTTGGGGTCGCTAGGATTTTTAATGTGTTTGAAAGAAGTCTCTTCTGCTCACCGAGGCTGCATTTATTTGATCAAAAATACAGTAAAAATTGTGAAATATTATTACAATTTTAAACAGCTGTTTTCTATGTGAATATCTGTTAAACTGTAATTTATTTCTGTGATCAAAGCTGTATTTTCAGCATCATTACTCCAGTCTTCAGTGTCACATGATCTTCAGAAATCATTCTAATATGCTGATTTGCTGCTCAAGAAACATTTCTGATTATTATCAATGTAGAAAACAGTTGTGTTGCACAATTTTTTTTGTGGAAACCGTGATGCATTTGATTTTTCAGGATTCACAGATGAATAGAAAGTTCAGAAGAACAGCATTTATTTGAAATAGAAAGCTTTTGTTACATTATAAATGTCTTTAACTGGCACTTTTGATCAATTTAATGTGTCCTTGATGAATAAAAGTAATAGTTTCTTTAAAAAAATAAATAAATAAATCTTACGGACCCCAAACTGGTATTTTATTATTAATATTTAGCACAGTTTTTGTTACTGTTCATGACATTCCAGAAGGTTCCTGTCAGCAGCTCAGAGCGTCAGACATGTGAATCTGAACCTCCTAACACTATTATCCTCGTGCGTCTTGCTGTTCTGACTTAACTAGATTAGAATCAAACACATTTAATGTGTTTGCTCTCGTCTGGTGGTCATGAAGTGTTTTAGAGGCAATGGAAAATGTTGCTCTTGTTCGAGCATCTCTTCATGCATGCATTCTCTCTCTCTCTCTCTCTCTCACACACACACACACAGACACACAGACACTCACACACACACACACACACACACACATCTGAATTATTTATAAGCCTTTTGAATTACAGGGATGCTGAAAATGTCCTCATAAAGCACCTTCTCGTTGTAATACCTATGTCATACCCATGTTATTATACAAATTTGCACACACACCCTTCCCCTCGCTGAATGTCCAGCGTTCAGGTCTCGCGCTTATTTTTGGCTCGGAGCTTGTTTATTGCAGGCCGGTGAATGGATGGACACACGCCTTCACATAAAACACTCGCTTCTTTCCATGACTCGACCCATTCATGTTGAAAGATTCTGTGCATCTTTATTTAGATGCATTTACATTGTGACTGTGCCTCATATGCAATCAACAGAAACTGTCAGTGTGTTTTCTGCTCGTCACTAATCGATGCTGATGATTATCTCCTGTCAGACGTCGAATCACGGCAGCTGGAGCTCCTGGGGTCCGTGGGGTTCGTGTTCTCGGACGTGTGGCGGTGGTGTCCAGTTTGCACATCGTCTCTGTAACAACCCTCCTCCCCGAAACAATGGCCGCTACTGCACCGGGAAGAGAGCCGTCTACCGCTCCTGCAGCGTAACGCCGTGCCCTTCAGCCGGTGAGCGTCTCCAAACACACACGCATGCACAAATAATGCATGCTCACAGAAGGAAACACATGCAAATGCAACAAATTCTGCATCACGTACATCCCTGATAGATACCACAATCCCAGAATGCATTGCAATAAATTCAGTGAAAAGCTTTATCTAATATGATACCGCCAAGAGAAGTATTAAGTAGGTAGCTAACACATTACATCGAGATTCCAGGATAATATGTGAGCCTGCAGCACAAAAGCAGTGTTAAGTCGCTGGGGTATATTTGTAGCAATAGCCAACAATACATTGTATGGGTCAAAATTATACATTTTTCTTTTATGTCAAAAGTCATTAGGATATTAAGTAAAGATCATGTTCCATGAAGATATTCTGTACATTTCCTACCGTAAATATATCAAAACTTAATTTGTGTTTAGTAATATGCATTGCTAAGAACTTCATTTGAACAACTTTAAAGATGATTTTCTCAATATTTAGATTTTTTTGCACCCTCAGATTCCAGATTTTCAAATATTGTCCTATCCTAACAAACCATTTATTTCTGTATTTATGGATTTCAAAAAATTGACCCTTATGGCTGGTTTTGTGCTCCAGGGTCACAAATGTGTATTTTAGATGGTCATTGTGTTTGTTCGGAATTTTATTCACCTTTTTGATTTCACTAATACTTTTTAAATTGTTCTGCAGTCTGACATAAATTTTTTATAACATACAGTTTTTAATTCAAAACCAATGTTGTTACTAAAACTACATTTAATTTTAATTGATTAGTTAATTGAAATAAAGCTAAAATAAAATATCAATATTAAATGAAAACTTAAACAAAAATTAAGTAAACAAAATGCAACAAACTGAAATGTTACTTAAGTATTAAAACTGGAATAAAAATGAATTAAAGCTAAATATTAATATTAAAAAACTAAAACTAATAAAAATGAGAAAAGCACACAACAAAATTACTAAAACTTAAACAAAACCTAAAATGAAAAATATAAAAATAAAAGCTAATTCAAACTATTAACAAATACCATACTAATTATATATAAATAATACTAAAGTAACTTACTCAAACTCAATATTAATGACAGTCATGGCACTTTAATTCAGAAAAACCTAATATAAATAAAAATACAAATATAAAAAATTATAATAGTAATGATAGCTAAAAAATTAATAATAATAATTTATTTAATATTATTGTCTTTGTTGTTATTGTTGTTGCAGTTAATAATAATTAAAGCTAAAAATATATATAAATAAATATAATATAATAAAGTGTATTCCATTTACTCTTTCAATTATCGTGAGCTCATGAAAATATAATCTATAATAATTATAAAGAATTCCCTCCTGAAACCAGCTTAAGAGGATTTTTAAAACATTTTGTGTCAGCTACACAAATATGTTATTATTTTTAATTAAATACTGTATTAAGAACAGCAGCAAGTTTGTGCATTGAATATATTTGCGCTCATCTGTGTGCGTTAGGGAAGAGTTTCCGTCAGGAGCAGTGTGAGCTGCGTAACGGCCCTCAGACGGACCCTAAAGGAGTGAAGACCTTCATGGAATGGGTGCCGAAGTTTGCCGGCGTGCTTCCCAAAGACGTGTGCAAACTCACCTGCAGGGCCAAAGGGACGGGATACTACGTCGTGTTCTCGCAGCGGGTGAGGGAGTCACGGATCTGTCATAACACTTACAAACCGACTCAACATACTGAATGATTTACATCCTTTCGACATGATATTATAGAAATGCCATACTGGTCTTTGAAGTGTCACATGGTGAGCTAACAGGAAACGTTCTCAAAAAGTTTTGAACAGATGTTCTTACAGTTGCGTTAATAATATTCTCAAGCATTAGCACAGAAACATTGTTTACACATCAGTTACGGAATGTTTTTTTTTTTTTAAACAATTCAGTTGGACATTTGTGTAACATTTTTTAAATGTATCCACTTGTTTCGGAACGTTCAGAGAACATTCGAAAGTAACATTCCCAATGAAATGCAAAATGATACAATGGAACATTCCCGTTTTACATTTACATTTAGGCATTTAGCAGACGCTTTTATCCAAAGCGACTTATAGATGAGGACAAAAGAAGCAATCAAAACTAACTAAAGAGCAATGATATGTAAGTGCCGTGATGAGTCTCGGTTAGCCTAACGCAGCACACATAGCAAGGTTGTTTTATATATATATATATATATATATATATATATATATATAATAAATAAAAAGAAAACCAACAGATAGAATAGAAAAAGAATAGAGAACATTAGTGTTAGAGGGTCTCTTTTTTTTATTACAAAGAAAGGAAAGTCGAAAAAATAGAGAACGTTTAGAGAAAACATTTTTACAAAACTGGACGTTTTGAACATTCAGAGAACATTCATAAATAACATTTTTGCAACTTAATGGGAACATTAGCAAAACATTCTTAGAACATATTTTATGATGTTACGAACAAACGTTCGTCCAGTAACATTAATACAAATTTCATTCAGAGTCATCTAGTCACAGCACAAAAACATTATTTATACATTGTTCCTAATGTTAGATTTTTTTAGTTGGATGTTTGTCTAATTTTTTCTAAAAATAAAACATTCAAAAGAACATCCCTTAATGTTTGCAAAAGGATCAAATTCCTTAAATGCTCATATAACCATTTTTACATATAACAGATGTTCAGAGAACATTCAGAAATGATTTTCTTCCTTAGTATTTTTGTCTTGTTTTCTTGTATAAATATCTACAAATTCTGGATTTAAGATGCATTTACATGCATGACTTAAGATATTATGTCTTGTTTTCTGGAAAAATTATCCAAATTTTGTTAGTTTTTGCTTAAAACAAGTAAAAATATCTGCTGATGGGGTAAGAAAAATAATCTTGTTTAGTCTTTGAATTAAGGCACTGGCAGATTTTTTGCTTGTTTTAAGCTAAAACTAACAAAATTTGGATAATATTTTCAGAAAACAAGTCGTTTTACTTGTCAAGTAAATGCATACTGATTCAAGAATTTTTAGATATTTATACAAGAAAACAAGACTAAATACTAAGGAAGAAAATATTTTTTGCAGTGTTGATAACTTAATGGGAACGTTAGCAAAGCATTCTATCAATATCATGTCCGAAAGACATGGAATTTTAGTGCTTTTTGTTAGTGATATATTTATTAAACCTTGAATATTTGTGCCATTTCTTTAGTAGCGATAGATGAAGGCCAGACAGCAGGTGAGGTTTGGTTTGTGTGGTTTTCTGCAGGTGGTTGATGGGACGGAGTGCCGGCCGTACAGCAGTTCGGTGTGTGTGAAGGGGAAGTGCGTTCGCACCGGCTGCGACGGGATCATCGGCTCGAAACTTCAATATGACAAGTGCGGCGTCTGTGGCGGCGACGGAAACAGCTGCATCAGAGTGGCTGGAAACTTCACCAAGAAGAGGTTAGACAACACACACTGATGGAGACATTCCACTTCTATTGATTTTAACCAAACCCTAAAAAACAGGGACGTCATCAAAGGGAGGTTTTGTCAGGTTTATATCACTTCTGGGAACAAATATCTCCCTCATTTATGGTGAAATTGTCCATAAACACACACGCTCTCTCAGACACACTGCAAAAAATATTTTCTTCCTTAGTATTTAGTCTTGTTTTCTAGTATAAATTAGGGTTGTGATGGTGAGGAAACTTTCCCACCAGTTAATCGACGTGTGACAACACCGATAATACCGGTATCACCGCGGGGGAGGGGCGTTCCCTCTTCTCCTTAGCTTTTAAATAGCTTGTAAAAGCGGCGTGCGCATTTTACTTTTACTTTCAAATAGCAGCAATTCGGCGTAAAGCAATTGTTCTTTTTTAGTTTGTTTGAATTTTCCCTCTTTTCCTCACTTTCCTTCGCTTTTAAATAGCTTAAATGCGCCGTGTGCATTTTACTTTCACTTTCGAATTAGTGGCAGTTAGGCGTCAATTGCTTGAATGCAACAACAAAATACAACGTCAAACTCACTTTAGCCTATATATAAAACAGAGAACTTTTATTAACAAAGCAAATAAAAATACACCATGCTATGCCTAATATAAAATAACAAATAACTTACATAAAGTTTAAATGTACAAAACTGGAAACAAGTAAACGTATAATATATAGCCAAATAAATAAGAAACGTAGAAAGTTTATTAGCAAAATGAGTAAGAAAGCTTGGAGGCACGGCTGTTCTTTTACTGAACTAAATTATTTTTATTGCTAGAAAAAAATCAAAACGACGGAGGGGGTCGGTGACGCGGTGGGCAAGTGACGTAACCGGTGTTGCGGCTTAACACCGGTATCACCGTCAGCACCCATCGGCAGATATTTTTACTTATTTTAAGCAAAAACTAACACAATTTGGATAAGATATTAGGTCTTGTTTTCTGACAAAAATTATCCAAATTTTGTTAGTTTTTGCTTAAAACAAGTTAAAATATCTGCCAATTGGGTAAGAAAAATAATTTAGTTTAGCTTTTGAATTAAGATTATTTTTCTTACCCCATTGGCTGATATTTTTACTTGTCTGATTGAGGGGTCCCAAATTTTTGATAATTTTTTTCAGAAAACAAGACATAATATCTTAAGTAATTTTACTTGTCAAGTAAATGCATCTTAAATCCAGAATTTGTAGATATTTATACAAGAAAACAAGACAAAAATACTAAGGACGAAAATCATTTTTTGCAGTGCACAAGTTCGTCTGGAAATCTGACTGATCGCTCTGATTCTGTTTCATAGAGACATGCAAAATTGGATGCGTAATGTGATTTACAGAAGTAGGAAATGTTCCTGGTACAATATCCTTTGTTTTCCCTGGGAGGACATTAAAGGAAAACATGAAAGAAAAGAAAAAATCACAAATCAGATCTGTTGTACAGCTTGACGGAGACGTGCGCTGCTTCTTAGGTGCTTCTCCTCTTGAGTTTCAGATCTCAGAAATGTCTCAGATTGTCCTCAGATTTGCACTCAAACGTCAGAGATCTCAATGTAAACTCGAGCATTTCTCATCCAGTGAACTGAGCTGCTTCACACTGGTTTTTATCACTCTGGATTCTTGCATGACGAACCAGTGACTCACCTGGGTCTGTTTTTATTTATTCTGAGGAATTTTAGGAGAAACATCTGAGACAAATTTGATACCTTTTTGAAACAACTAAGACTTAAAAGGTTTTTTTAAACAAGTCATAAAATAAATATACATATTCTCAAGCTTTAAACAAACAATGTAGATGACACACAACACAAAAGCAAATAAAAAAATTAGTTACATTTTTTTCAATGAGAAAATACGTTTATTTTTCTGACCCCATTGGCAGATATTATTCATTGTTTTAATCATAAACTCACTTAATTTTTATATTTTATATTGGGAAAAAAGACTTAATATTTTAAGTCATTTTGCTTCTCAATTAAATGTATCTTGAATTAAGAATGTTTAGCTATTTGCAGTGAAAAATAAGACAAAAACAAAAAAAAGACAGAAATACTAAGTCTTGATTTCTAATATATATATAGCAACAAGCAACAAGAAATACAAAAAATGAATTTTCCAAAAAAAAAAAAAGTATCAAAATTAAGTGAGTTTATACTTGAAATAAGAAAAATATTTGCCAAAAGGGTAAGAAAAATATTTTTTTCTGATTCCATTGGCCATTCCATATTTTCCTTGTTTTAAGCATAAATTCACTCCATTTTTTTTTTTAGGAAAACAAGACTTACTATCTTAAGTCATTTTGCTTATTAAGTAAATGTATCTTGATTTAAAAATTGTTTTAGATATTTTTTACTGGAAAAGACAGAAAATACAAAATAAGACAAAATGACTAATAAAGTCATGTGATGTTGTCTCTGTGTTCTCCAGCAAGGGCTACACAGATGTGGTGAAGGTTCCCGAGGGCTCGACGCACCTGAAGGTCCGACAGTACAAAGCCAAAGGCCAGTCGCGCTACACAGCGTATCTGGCGCTGCGGCGGCCCGGAGGAGAATACCTGCTCAACGGGAAGTTCATGATCTCCACGTCCGAGACCATCATCCCCCTCAACGGCTCCGTTCTCAACTACACCGGCTGGAGTCAGCGGGACGAGGCCCTTCACAGCATGGGCCCCGGGGCCCTTCAGGAAAGCCTGGTGGTGCAGATTCTGGCCACGGATTCTAAGAAACCACTAGACATCCGCTACAGCTTCTTCATGCCGCGCAAAATGCCGCTTCCGCCGCGTACGGTCGCCACGTCTTCGGGAACCGTCGCGGCGCTGTCCTCGGCGGAGATTGTGACGTTTACGACCGAGGTTCCTGTGACGACGACGATGCCCGCGGGGCCGCGCTGGGTGACGGGATCGTGGATGACGTGCTCCAGAGCTTGCGATACGGGTTGGCAGAGTCGCACGGTGCAATGCCAGGACCCTCAAGGGAAGCTGTCCAAGAGCTGCCCGCTCAGCGCCCGGCCGTCGGCCTTCAAAAACTGCCTGATTAAAAAATGTTGAGGACCCCTCAATCAGACGAACTTCCTGACTGAGCTTCGTGAAGCACGTAGACTGAACCGTTGCAGTTGCATTCCGATCACTGTGGGATTCTGCTAGCGTTCACAATTGTGTTGCGTTGTGACTCTGGAGCTTTGGCTGTAGCCTTGAATGTGGTGACGTTCAGCCACGCCCCTTTGACAAGGCCACGCCCCTTCATTCAAATGACACGCCCCTTGAGTTCACACTGGCAGTGATTTAAAGCATTTCTGTAGTGTTTGATGTTAAGATGCATTGACATTAACCATTGATAAAATGGAATGTTCTATTAACGTTCACATAACCAAGAAAAAACATTTTAAAAACATTCAGAAACAGTGTTTTCATAACTTAATGGGAACATTAGCCTAACATTCTGTATCAATATCATATGCAAAAAAACAGAGTGTTGGGAATCCCTCAATCAGACTAACTTCCTGAATCCTGCTAGTGTTCGCAATCGCGTTGTGACTCAGATGAGGAGCTTTGGCTCTAGCCTTAAATGTGGCAACTTTCAGCCACGCCCCTTTAACAAAGCCACACCCCTTAAGTTCACACTGGCAGTGATTTAAACCACTGCCATAGAGTTTAATGTTAAGTTGCAATCACATTTACAGTTGCTCTGTGGAATCAAGTCATTCCAATTGGATTCCAACGATTGCGTGAAAAAGCTTACCCACGTAGGTTACACTTTTTTCCATTGACCAACAGAAAACCGCTTGGTTTCAAAGTGACTTCTGTGTGAGTGGCACTTCATACATCTCTATTTTATAGACAGCAGACATTGGACTGTTTTGGTTCACGAAATTTCACTGCAATTTTGCTAATGTGACCGCAACTTCGACTGTAGGGCTGCGCGATATATAGCATAATGTAATTTCCTTTTGATTTGTGCTTGTGTAAAAGTGCAATAATTCTGATTCTGAAATCTAAAAAGGAATTTCTCAAACCTAGAGCCTTTGTGATTTTGGAGCAAAATAATCAGGATTATCAGATTACCGTGCCACCTTACTTGATTGCATTATTCAACTATATCAGTCTGCGCTCCCATTGGTTGTCATCGCATTTAGTCACAGCTTATTTGTATAAAGCTGGACCACGTTGTCAACAATTGTCAACAGATTTACTGATCGCTGTTAGCGTGAACAACCTGTTTAGGGTCCCAATATCACCCATAAGAAATAAGCATCGACTGCAGGAACGGAAAGGTCCATGCAGAATGCTGATTTTCCGGAGTGAATCTCATAAGACTAAGACAAACTGGGAATATGACTGACCGCCGGTCCGTTCCTGAGCTCGTTTTCAGGGTTTGAGCTGACGTTGATGTGTTTGTTCCTCTGTGCTCCATGTTTATGTCCGTTTGAGTCTGAAACTCCCACAATGAACTGATCTTCCTTTCTTTGTTACAGAACAACTAAACAGGGCTCTGATTTGTAAATGTGTGTATGTCATTTTCTGTGTTCAGGACACTGAGTGCCCTCGATACTCGCAATAACGCCAGCCGATCGCTCACTCGCTCGCAGTCGCGCCGTTTACATCTTCATGGGAATGTTTCAGGTTTAAAACAAACAAAAACCTTGTTTAGAGTGAAACACTTACAATGGACGTCTATGAGACAAGAATCACACAGGGTTAAAGCAGAAATGTGAAACGTATGTTTATTAAAGCCTGTATACTAATTGCTATGTACAGAAATGTGTGTTATTTGAACTGTAAGCCCAGCTAACAAGAAACATTTTTAGAATGTTCTGGCGGCGTTCTTTTAAAGTTTTGAACAATTCAAAACAATTCAAGTAACTCATTTAAAGTTATCTGGTCTTAAATAACGTTCTTAAAATGTTAGCACAAAAACATTATGTATACATCATTCATGGGATTAAAAAATAAATAAATGTTTCAATTGGACGTTCATCTGACATTTTTTAAATGTTACGACTTGTTTCAGAACGTTCAATGTAACATTCTCATAATGTTTCCAAAATTCTAAAACGGAACGTTCCCTTAACATTCACACAACCTAGAAAAAAAAAAAGTGTTACTATGTGTTACTGATGTAAGTGACTTTTACATGTTCTTATAATGTTGCACAGACAAGGTGACACATTTAATGTTTTTTTGTTGTGTTGTTCAAAGCAAATGTGTTTTCTAACATTCTGATACAATGTCTTGCCCCATAGACTTCCATTGTAAGTTACTGTAAACACAATCCTAAAACCGGAACATTCCTTTGAATCATTTTTCACCTCAGTTCAACCTCACAACTTCATTTCTCAGACAGTGAAACATCTCAGCTATGTGATGTGTGTTCAGATCGTTGATTCATGTGTGTGTTTTTATGAGCAGCGGAAATCAGTTTAAAGTCAACATGATTCAACTCTATTTACTTTCATTCATGTACCTGCTCTTATTATATAAATTAATCTTTCATAGTAATTTGATATCATTTGACTTCGACACCATCTCATCAATTCCCAAATAAAATTCATTTTAAAATTAATGAAATGAAATGAAATGCAAAAGTCTTGCACTATTTTGTTTCTCATCATACATCCAGTTTCAATTAGAAGTGCATCACATTACTGAAGTGCAATGTGTTGCGAATGCATTTCATGTTGACTTTAAACCTGCTGCAGTTGTTCAATTTGCGAAGTTGTTTGATTCATTTCACACAGATGCAGTAACTGAATGAACTCATGTGATTCAGTGTTTGGTACCTGAACGTTTTCCAAGATTTCATCGGTTTACTCCATGTATGCAGTACTGTTTTACCGTCTCAATGGGAAATGGCCGTTTCACTGAAAATGCACAGCACTGATTTTATAATTTATTGTTTGTACAACTGGTATGTGAAAAATAAGAAAACACAGGATGAATTTATTTATTGTTATGCTCATTTTGTCTCATAAATACTATTTAACTAGGAATATGAGTGAGCAGAATAGTTCCTTTTGAAGAAAATTGTCTTTTTTAGCCATCTTCATGAATATATGTGTATATAAAACAAAGTGCTATATTTAAAAGTTTATCGATTCATTTGTTGCCTCACTGAGATATCCATCTAGTTTCTAATTAGTTTCTCAAATGGAATCAATAAACAGGCCATTTGAGTTTGTTAAAGTGCATGAGAGCAGAGGATGATATTTCCACAGTCCCATAGAAATATCCACTTCTTCTTCTGAACCTCTGTTAAACACGACACTATCTGTAGTGCTTCATCTTAAATGAGATATGAATGAGCAGTCTTGCTGTAAGACTAAACTAGAAGACTAGAGTTTATTTTGAGAGCAAGCAGGAGTGAGAGGGGCAAGTTGTCACGCTTTTTATCCCAGTAAAGATTTCTCAGTTATAATTTCTAAAGAGACGCCAATCACCAAAAACTAATGAACATTTCCACTGTTATTCCCAGGAAATAAACATGCAGTTCATTTAGCGCACGCTGACCCGGAACTTGCTGTTTATTGACACTAATTTGAGAGAAAACATTTTCTTACACATCTATATTAAAATATATTATTGGCTTTTAATGGATTTTGTGTGAAACCTAAACACTCGCACCGTTATGACACCAAACGATTCATGAAACAGCAAAAAAGCAGCTTTAAATCAGATTATAGGTCAATAAAATAGATGAAAACCAACATGCAATCTGTTGATTAAGGTGAAACACCAGCTATTTATCAAACTGCACAGACGATGGTGAAACACTGAAAATACACAGAAGCTAATAACTTGTTCAGACTATAAACTTTCTTTAATGGGCTGTTTTATTAGCCAACCGAATCACACTAATTAGTAACTGCGTTTAATATAGACTTTAGGTCTGCAATCAAAATCCTGAGATCTCAATATAAACTCAAACATTTGAGATGCTCCACGTTCATTTTAAAGCTCTAGATTGGATGAACTAGTGACCCATTTGGGTCTGTTTTTATTTCTCCTAATGACTTTCGGGAGGGACATCTGACAAAAACATGATGCTTGTCATTAAACACAACGTTAAAGTCTCCGGAGTCTCGTTTCAAGAAGGAGGTTCAACCAACTCGGAGTTAAAACTTTAACTCTGAGTTGACTTACCCTGAGATGGGTTCTCAATGTACTGGAGGTGAAAACGGGCAGAACGGTAAGTATCCCACGGGCAAAAGAAAAGAAGAAAGCAGCTAAACATGAAGTACAAAAACATAATTCAATCAGGTAAAGCTCTAAGCATATAAAATGTTCATGGGTGTAGACTACATGACTTTATTAAATAAATATCATCCAGTGTCTATTTCAATGTGCAGCAGCTTTTTCCACAGTCTAATGCTCTTTTCACATAATTAAACATTGTCTAATCCAAACTTAGAGCAATTAAATAAACATTTGACTTGTACTTAGCCAACAGCAAGAAGACTCACAAAACAATGAAGAACAGATGAAAAGGATGGCCAAGTATTGGAAGAATGTTAAAATCCAACAGGAAAAACAATAACTGTTGCTTTTGTGTTTGAAGGACACAAAGATGACCAAATAAATTAAACAGCTGTGGTGGTGATTACAGCATAATATCTCGAACTACCCCATACAGTTCCATACAGTAATCAGCTTCATTTTCGATGGGTCTGTGCTCATTAAACTACACAACGATTCTCAGAAAGAGCATGATAGCGAGACACACTTTCCTTGCCGCTCTGCATACAGTAGCCTTACTAATGTGCTCTGCATGCCTGATGTTATATCAAAAACTACCATTACAGCTCAAATAAATATGCATGTGGATATGGCAAAAAATCACTATAATCCTAACTCCCTAGGAATTAATGCAGCCTCCTTATTTACAGGATTCTGTATAAAAGGACATGCTGTTTTAGTCACTTTCACAGTGAGGAAAATATATGTGCAATGAATGAGTGTAGCTGCACTGCAAAAAAAAAGCTTTTTTGTCTTTATTTTTCCAATCAAAATATCTAAATATTCTCAAAGGTCATTTAAGTGTATTTTTCTTATTTTTTGCAAATTATCTGCCAATGAGGTAAGAAAAATCATCTTTTCTATGTTTCTGTTTGCATTAAGATTATTTTTCTTGTTTTAAGTAAAATGCACTTAATTTAGATTCCAAAATACCAAGAAAAGCATTTTTCAGGTTAACGCAGTTTTCAATTAACCTCCTTTCTGAAACGGGCCTCTGAGCTGTTAAAGAACAGCTTTCAATACCATGTCACTCCTGAGCATGTCCTACACAGAGTGTTTCCCAGCTAACAGAGAACGCTCCCAGAACAACCCTTACGAAAAAGAAGTTTATTCAAGTGTGCTATTAGTATACTTCTTTTAAACTAAAAATTAGGAAAGTATACTTTTAGTCTACTTTTTATGTACTTCTCAGAAATAGGCTTTATGTACTTCTCAGAAATATACTTAAAATGACATTTAAGTATACTTGACTTATAGCCTACTTAGAAAAAGTCTAAATATATTTGAGCTATACTTGTGTTCCTAGAATCCGTGTTTTCATTGTTATCCGGTAGGGGGCGCTAGTACACATCTTCTGTACAGAATTTCTAAAAAACACAAGTGAAGAAGAAACCGAAACAACAGATGCGTCCACATGTATTCTAGCATGATCATCAGACATAAAACAGGGTCTCGGGCGGTTGGTGACAGCTGGATTGTGACTGGGAGCGCTGATGGTAGGAAGTAGCGTAGATTCCGGAAGTGATCCGGAAATGGAGGATGATGTGGGAGATGTGGATAGTGGAGGCGGCGAATGGAGAGTAGTAGAAAATCGGAAAAGAAAGAAAAGTTGGGGACAAATCTCAGAAACGGATAGTGAAAAAGGAAATCACCAGGCAAGACGAAGGAAAGAGGAGTATAAGGTATTGATTAAGTTTACTGAGTCTGTAAATGCTATTAATCCTTTAAAACTAACAAAAACTCTAAAAGAAACAATAGGGACGGTTGAAAGCATTAAGACATTGAGGGATGGCAAGCTGATGTTGTTTTGTAAAGACAGTAGGCAGCAAAAAACGGCTCTAGGAATAAAATCGATAATTGGAAATAAAGTTGAATGTTCCATACCAGAAGAAAAGAATTGGGTCAGAGGTGTTATAACGGGGATTCCAACGGATGTTGCAGATGAGAAGATTAAAAGTAATATAACTGGAGCAGCAGTAAAGTTTGTCAGACGGCTCAAGTGCGTCAGGAATAATGAAAAGACAGACAGCCTATCAGTAATGTTAAACTTTGATGAAAATAGACTGCCTGAGAGAGTTTATTTGGGATTTGTAAGCTATACGGTTAGACCATACGTTCCCCCGCCGCTAAGATGTTACAAGTGTCAAAAATTCGGTCATGTTGCGGCAGTATGCAGAGGCAAACAGAGATGCGCGCGGTGTGGAGGTGATCATGAGTATGGCAAGTGTGGACAAGGTGTAAATCCTAAGTGCTGCAACTGTGGAGGAGATC